CGTTACATCTAAGACTTCAAGATGATGGGTTCAGTTTACATCTAAGACTTCAAGATGATGGGTTCAGTTTACATCTAAGCCTTCAAGCTGATGGGTTCAACTACCACTAATGAGAAGCGGAGCTGTGGACTCAGTAAACCCATTACTTTAAATTATCTTTAAGTTTACGGTGGAGAAACCATGTTACAACCTTTGAGATGATGTGAATCGAGCAATTCCTTTCCTGACTTGTTTACGATTTTGTTTACGATAAGGCTGCTCTTGATATTGGTCGCTGTTCGTCCTTACATGAGTGCTCAATCTGTCCCACTTCAGTTCGTCTGTCAATCTTTTCCGAAAAATGATCGCAATCCCATTCACCGCAGTATCTTGTTGTTCCGAGAATCGATAGGTGCTTTTACAAACGCAGGGCGTGTTTTCGTGTGCTTCGACGCATCGTCAGCAGCTGACGCTCAGAGTTACGCCATCCAGTGGATTACTCTTGTACAGAAAACAACAGTAGCTCATTGACTGACTGGTAAACATTCGGTATATCATTAAATGAAAGGCGAATGTTCGCAAAACAAAAACCAGCAGTTGCTTGTAACATTGAATACAACAGCGTAGGCGCACAACAGGGAAAGGGCAAAAGTCTTGCTTTTAATCCTTCAGCACAACAACGAGTTCGTGTTACCCGCGACTGGCGCGCAAGGCACTCTGGTAAGTGAACAAATATTTTTGAAAACAAAATTATACTGCCACCACATCCCGAAAAATCCGAGGGAATCAGGGAGGAAGGAATTTTTCGATCTTGACACCTTGACATTTTCTGGCTTTCCCTGTCCTGGCATAGGCCAAAACTGCTTAGGGACCATTCTCTTGTCTGTTCTGCCCACAATAGGGTGCTTTCTCGGTAATAAGGATAAACAACTTTATCCGATAACTGAGCCACCTTTTAATTGTTCTTGAAGAGAGATATTCATCTCTCGTTATTCAAAGGCGCCACCGTTTCGCCCCTAAGCCACACATTTTTTGTGTTCTGGCTTAGGGTCGGGGCCGCGGGTTCTGGCCTATGCCAGAACATTCTCTGGAGAAATTGGTTCAGTCCTTCCCATGCTTGGCCTTACAACCACACCCTTACCGCGCAATAGGAAATCCTTCCTCGTGTAGGTGACTTTTGGAAAAAGTTATGCTTTTGTTTCTAACTACTATGTAGTAGTTTTAT